GAGGAGCTTTGAGAAAGGACTGAATCAAATTATGAGGGAGCAATTAGTCAAATACAGAGCAAGGGGGCTCTCTGATAGATGAAAACTCTTCAGAAACAAGCCTAAACTCCTTAACCAGGCATGTCAGCTTGTTCATAGGCCTCAATATTTTCAATACAATGAGAAAGAAAAAGGAGAATAGACAAGTAAGCTGGATGAAAGGATGGAGACTTTGGGGGAAACATCATGTTGCTTCTCCTGCCACTCAGAAAGAGATTAAATTCCACAAACATCAGGAGCACCACTTCATTATGCTTTGTGGTTTGTCTGAACAAGAGGCCAGGTTCCCTGGGCATACACAGATGTCGCAGTGTCCTGAGAAACAGTTATAATCTTCAATATAGTCAGTTAAACCACCATGGCTCCATTTCATAATGATAACAATGACATTTCACAGAGATATTTCTGACAAGTGACCCCGCCAGCTTTAAGGATTTCAGGTTGGTCAATTTTATGCCACCTGAATTTCAAAGAAAAGCTCTCTTTCTAAAAAAAAAAAATCGTAAATGATCATCTTTAGATTCCACTTAATTTACCTGGCGTACAACTGGATTTAGTTGCAGTTCAGAATGATGCTTGGTTCCTCTTTGACCAATTCAGAGGAAACAAACGTCCTTTGCTGAAGTCAAATCAGGACAGATAATTATGCATAACAATACCCAGCACTTGTAAAGTACCATGCTTTGAAGTTTATGGTTTTCTCAGTGTTTTCAATGTACATTATCTCCTTTGATCCTGCCCCCATTACATGCAGAGGGGAAGTCATGTATCGTTCTATTTTACTGATAAGTGGAACTGAGACTTTACAGATTTCACAATTGTCAACTTCGTCAAGGAGTACTAAACCAGTAACCAGTCACAAAATTCAGCCATATCAGAATTGGGCTTCCAGTCTTTAACTTTGTATATTAATTTGCTCCCTAATGAGAATCATGACATGTATTTGCTATGTGAAGGTGGGCTTCTGGTTTGCTGCAGATGTCCCAAGTGGTTTCCCTATTTGCACACTAATCCTTTGTGGGCTAGTCTCCACACTGTGGCCAGGGAAATCCTTAAAACACAGATTTAATCACGTCCCTCTCTCCTACCCCAGAACCTCCAATAGCTGCCATGATTTCTAAAAGCGAATCTACAATTCTCATTCTGACCTTTGAAGCCCTCCAGGACCTAGCTTCAGGGACCTTTCTTTTAATTCCTCATGCCAAGGCAGCCACATTTGCTTCTTTCCCAAAGACACTAATGGCACTCTAACCTTGGGCTTTTGTATGCAATACTCTCCTTCCAAATTTACCCCTCCAATTCTGTATGGTTGATTTAGGTCTCTGTTTACTCTCAACTCCTCAGAGAGACCCTCTATCTCTAAAGAGTACGCCACATCCACAGTCACCATCTATGTCCTTACCATCTATATTCCTAGCACCTGGAAGAGTGCCTACCAATAGTAAATCTCAGCAAATTATGTGTTAAATAAAAAAAAATAATAAATGAATGGATGAATCCAGTTGAGAGGGAAGAGATATGGCAAGGTTGGGTTTTTGTCCACGGTAGGCTGTTCATACGGAAATATTCATAAGTATACTAGAGATGTGAGTAACTACCTGCTTTGGAAGCACTTTTTTTTTTTTTGTAAGATTTTATTTATTTATTTGACAGAGAGAGAGAGAGAGAGAGCACAAGTAGGAAGAGCAGCAGGCAGAGGGAGAGGGAGAAGCAGGATCTCACTGAGCAGGGAGCCCAACATGGGGCTCGATCCCAGGACCCTGGGATCATGACCTGAGCTGAAGGCAGCTGCTTAACAAATTGAGCCACCCAGGCACCCTGGAAGCACTTTCTTTCCAAGAGATTTCTAATCCTCTGGTTATTTAGGCAGTTTAAAATGGCACATATTAAAATTCTGGCTCTAAAAATAGTTTAAAGATGAGGATTATAGTTCAGAAGAAATTAGTTCATATAAATAGTGTTTATAACCAAAAAGCACAGTTTTTCAACATCTGTTCTTCAACCCACTAGCTTGAACTAAAATACTAACACCATGGTAGCAAAGGCACACTTTGCAACACTGACCACATAGTTTATCCATTAGAAATTCAATTTTAATTATTAGTTCCTTCATTTATTGAACGTATTCACTTATTTGATCAAGTTCACCTCTACAGTTTAAATTGCAGCATTTCACCCACATACATTTTATTTAAAGGAGCACATGTTACTTGCGGGAGACAAATACGTAATCCTCCTTAAAGTGGATTAAGCCTCATTATATTGAACACATGGAATATCTTTCTAGGCAAATGCTTTAGGAAAAAAAATTATCTTTTCAGCATGCATGAAAACTTAAAGCTTTTTCTTTTTTTCCTACACACATGCTATTTCACGGATTTAGAAAAAAAAAGTTCTAAAAATGATCATTGCTTCTAACCATAAAATGAGCTCTAAGTTTCTTGTACCTGCATAGAGGAAGGAAGAAGAGAGTATACCATGCTTAGATCATTGGCAATAAGAAGGAAAGGAAGAAAATTCCGAGCAAAAAGTTCCGCTCACCACATTCTTAATGGTCCGACCCTGGCTCTTATGTCACAGAATTTGGTCTTTCGTTTCCTCTATATCAACCCAACAAATTTTCAATAGCATCTAAGTTTGATTTTAGTGCTTTACAGCCTAGGGACTGCTGTCACAAAAAACTGTCCCATGGGTTCTTCACAATTACCCAGTAAAGCAGGTGTTAATATTTATACCTTTTTTACATTCAATAAGCCTGAGGCTCAATGAATGGTTTAATCAAAAACCAAAGCAAGGGCATTTGACTCTGCAGCTCATTCTTTTTCCATTAAATCATGCTGTTTCTTTGATTTCTAAGATATAAAATTGCTCTGGTCATTTACCTAGCTATTCTCTCAAGCTTTCTGAGTTCAGAGCAATATTGAATGATATTCAATAATCCTTCCCCATAATTGTCAGAGACTTCTAGCTATAAAAAATATCACAGCTCTACGTCTCTGAAGTAATAGAGTAGATCTTGGGAGTTTTTAATGTCTTGACACCAGGAAAAAAATAAATTAACAAGTAAATCTGCTGCTATACTTATTCTTTTTCTCTGTTTGACATTAAGTTGGACCCACCTAAAATCTCAGTTCCTAAACAAGGATTGACAGTAATCTCAGGTCAATACAGGTGGTTGTTTTCACAGAGTGTAAGGAATGTTTTAGTTGCCCGCCTTTCAGGCTGTTGGCACTTTAAATGTGGCTAGCATACATGATGTGTTTTGGGTTTAATTTAAAAGGGTATTATCTTTTGATTCTGTCATTTATAGAAATAGAAATTGCAAGACTGTTGAATCACAGATCTGTACCTCTGAAACAAATAATGCAATATATGTTAAGAAAAAAAAAGAAGAAGAAGATAGCAGGAGGGGAAGAATGAAGGGGAGTAAGTCGGAGGGGGAGACGAACCATGAGAGACGATGGACTCTGAAAAACAAACTGAGGGTTCTAGAGGGGAGGGGGTTGGGGGGATGGGTTAGCCTGGTGATGGGTATTAAAGAAGGCACATTCTGCATGGAGCACTGGGTGTTATGCACAAACAATGAATCATGGAACACTACATCAAAAATTAATGATGTATGCTGATTAACATAACAATAAAATTTTAAAGTGAAAAAAAAGAAATTACAGAAAGCCCTGGTAAAGGAAATTATTTCATAATTGTTTTATTTATTTATTTATTTATTTGTAAGAGTGAGAGAGAGCGTGCACAGTAGGGGGAAGCACACAGAGGGAGAAGCAGGCTTCCTGGTGAGCAGGGAGCCCAATGCGGGACTCAATCTGAGGACCCTGGGATCATGATCTGAGCCGAAGGCAGATGCTTAACCAACTGAGCCACCCAGGTGTCCCTCATAATTGTTTTAATGCTCATTTTCCTACCTGTGAATATTACTTATCCAAAGTCACCATATCAGAAGACTTCTAGTACTTAGTCATATCCAATTCTCTTCCCCTTCTGGACTCACACAAGGCTGAGACTTCCTACCATATCACTATTTTTGGGTAATGGTTTGTGAGAAGAAATGATGAAGTATTTAATTGCTGGTCTGAGACCCTTCAGTGCTCTTTCCCATGCCTCAGCAACTAAGGAGACATCAAGTTCCAGATGGTGTAGCTGCAAGATGGGGAAGCTTTATAACCAGGATCCCCATGTGGAGAAGCACACTCTGCCAAACCATGAGAGCAATGTAAGCTAGAGTGAGAAACTTTTCTGGGGTAAGCTACTGAGATTTGGGGCTGTTTTGTTACTGCCTATCCTAATTAAAAATCCTAAGAGTCAAAAGAGCAAAGGAATTGGATTCAGAAGATCTGGATGACACCCAACTTAATAACTTTGTCAACTTGCGTAAGTCACTTAAATTTGTTGAGTTTCAAATGCTTCCTTTCTAAGATAGAGATGATAAAAATATTCTCTATCTACTTGAAAGAGTGACTATGAAGACCAAATTGCATAGTGTAGGTTGAGTCACTCTACAATTTATATTCATAAATGTGGCATTTTTTTTTACTTCTTTGATATTGTGATTTTCTGATTAAGGGAACTTCTTTCCTCATCTCCTACATTCCATGTCCATGGAAAAAGTAGACAAGAAGACCAAATTTAGGGTGTAGGAGTGAAGAGGATGCCACTCTTTGTTTGTTTTAATCTATTATTATAGGCATACTGTGGCTCCGGTAATTAAATTCAAGATTTCTTAGAATCAGGTATTTCAGATTCAAGTTCACGTCCATGACATCCAGCTCTATCAAATTTGTCTGTGTGTTTTTCCACTTTAGCTTCAAGCATCAGAAAACTAAGATACCATCTTTAAAGGTGCAATGTAGAGTACAAAGTAAACTATGGGTTCAGAGAGCATCAAACCAGTTTCTATTATTTCTTAGATTCTTTTTCTTAATGCTTTAAAATATCTGTTTAGCAGAAAAAATATGGAACATTTAATGAATTTGTGTGTCACCCTTGTGCAGGGGCCGTCGTAATCTTCTCTGTATCATTCCAATTTTAGTATATGTGCTGCCAAAGTGAGCACTATTTCTTGGATTCTTAAATCTGATTACCCAGTCCAACAAAAAAAGACCAGCAAAGCCAGTAGGCATTCATTGGACATCTCTTTTACTGATTGGGCACAACAGAGGAGAGAAACCAACATACAATTAACTTTCTACATTTTGAGCTATGAAATTTGCCCATGTTTTGTTTCCTCCCCACATAAAAGATGATGGGGCTATGGTGTGACTCTTCAAGTTATCACCTGATCTCTCCACTGAGTAAGCAAAACAGTGCAGTCATTAGAGAGACACTCTAGGGAGTGACTGAAAGTGGGCTCTCTGAAGCCAGACTGAGTTCCAGCTTCACAGCTAAGTTACTCTGAGCATACAACTTCTTTATGCCCCAGTTTTTTTTCCATAAAGGGGATATAGTAATAGCACATAATTTACACAGCAGTTTTAAAAGTTAGTGAGCTAATATATGTAGTGTTTAGAAAAAGGCCCATGACCTAGTGAACACTGTCTGGCTTATTTAATACTGTCTCCTTGTAATCAAACTCCAAGCTATTCTAACACAATTTGAAGGAATGGGATGCTCTAAAAGATGGGGGTAGTTTGTGGGAAGAGAGAAAACTGAGTTTTTTTTAGCAATTTTAATGAATATGCTGAAGCAACAGAAGATGAGTAAAGAGGCTGTTATGAACATTTTATGATCTCATGATTCACTAGAGGTCTATAGAACTCTTCAACTTCTTGGGCCCCAATCTGTGTTTCTTTCTTTGGAACATCACATTTAAGTGAACCAGCTATGGTTTATATCTAAACTGAAGTGTAATCTGCCACAAAATTATCCCTTCTTATTTCTGATAAAAGACTTTTTTCTGGTTGCTCAAACATAAGAACTCAATATGATTTTGGGTGTTTTGGTTTGTTTGGTTGTTTTTTTTGTTTTGGTTTGGCTTTTGTTTATTCGTTTCATCTTACACCTGTGTTTCTCTCTTCTAAACCCAAACAGTAGCCAAAACTGGTCAAATATTGTCACCATAGAGTCTTTCCCACTCCCTTTCTATTGCCATTTCACAAATCCAGACCCTTATCTTCTACTGCCTCAGTGCTCTCTCTGCTACCAATAGGCTTCACCTCCCCTTTGCTAGAGTGGATAGAAGAGCTGGTTTTCATATTTCTTTCCAAGGATACAGATTTGAGAAAATAGCCACTTGGGTTCACTTCTACCACTAATTATTAAATTATTAAATTATTTAAGGAATAAATCATTAAAGTAACCAAGGGGTAGTTTTTTTTCCTAATATGGTAAGCCACATATAAATTTAAAATAGCAATGACCAATTTTATGTATGATATATATAAATTGATTGGGCACACATGCATACACACATATACACATACATATACATGTGTATACATACAAAACACGGCATTGCACGCTCTCTCTATATATATATGTATATACATATAAATAAATGTCTTTCTTCTTATAAGGTACAATGATTCTTCACCAATAGATATCCATGCTAGCATGAAAATAGATGTTAGTCCTGAGTTCAGATCCAATAAGAAAGTCTTCACTTTCCGATTACTATGTAAGAATTGAAGAAAACTTTGAAATGGATATCATATTTTTACTTTGGACATTTGTTAGTTGACTTGATGCATACCCTTTCTGAATTTTGTAAGGCCTCCATAGTACGTACACACACACACACACACACACTTATGGAAAGCAAACAAGTGGGAGGAATATGCTTGTCAGTTTCAATTTTGTATACATAAAAATGCATGAGAGAAGGGACTGAAAACATAGGAGCAAAAAGACAAGAAATGTCAAGATTGATAGGTTATGCCAAGGGAAGAAATTTACTCTAAAAATAAGTCCTACCATTTAACCTACTGGTGTTAATTTGATTTTATACTCAACACGAATATGTTGTGTCTATCAGCGATTAATTCTAGATTGTTATTCTACCAAGCTAAGATTTGTGTTTTTCAGTGGAGCTCAGCATTTCAACGCTCTTAATCTGACTGTCGTTCAGGACAGTTTTCAAAGAATTGTATGAATGTAACTGAACAACACACTATTTTGTCCCCTATTGTTGCCCAAAGGCTCCTGTACCTTCAAAGCTATAGTCATAATAGATGTGTTGTTTCCAGGTGAAAAACTTTCTCCCCCTTAAAGGATAACTCTTGAAAATCAACCTCAAGCACACATAAAACAATATATTCCAAACACGTTTGTTTCCCCTCATGATTTGCAGGTTGAACACAAATGAGAGAAAAATGGAGTTGGTCTGCAGCAGAGCTCCACTGCCCCCTTCCACTGCCCCTCAATCATTTCTTCCTTCCCTCAGACCTGACACCTGACTCCAGCCTGTAATAGGTGTCCTACTGGAGTACATCATCTTCCAATGACTGTTCACGTGTAATTTTCCCAGCAATATTTAATTTGAATGTGCTGCACTCCCTCTTCTTCCCTGTTCTTGATGCCAACCATTTAGCATCTCTTGTTAACCCATTCCAAGGACAGCGTGCACAGTGTATCAGTATTCCCGTTTTCTGTGCCCAAAGCACATATAATCAACAACCACATTCTTTCCCACTGAATCTAGACAGCTCTAGAATTCTTATCCCCATTGCACTTCAGATAGTCTTCAGCAGTCAATCATGGCTAAAACCTACTTGCTGCTCCTAGGTTACTCATTCTCATTTAAAATACGTGTATTGTAAAAGAGTACAGGAGAAACAATGATGGGTCTCAAGTTTATTTTTATGAGTATTCCTTATTAAATCAACTATATATGTGTACGTGTGTGTGTGTATATGTAATATATAATTATTTTATACAAACTCATCCTCATGGACAGGCATTGACTTATGTGCATGTTTACTCAAAAATATTATGAAATGAAAATGCTATGATTGTTAATTTTATTAAAGAGATATCTATATACTTTTTAAATAGCCACAAATACAGGTGCAAGTTATGTTACTTTTTTAGTTTACAGAAAAACACTGTCAGAGTATGGATTTAAGGCAACATTCTTTATGTTCCCCAAATGCATTGTACTCAGCTTGATTATAACACTTGCCACATTGTTTTGTAATTGCTTTCTTTCCTGTCTCACTGACTAGCTCCTTGGAAGCAGGAGAGCCTCCCTTCTCTCTACACTGTTAGCACACCGAATTTTCACATAGTATTGGTGTGGCGAATGTTTATAGGATAAATAACTGATTGAATGAGATATTTTTTAATCAATAGTCTTTTATTACTAAATAGTCTTATATTACTCTGCAGTCATATACTCTGCAGCACTTCCAAAGCATTTTAACTTTCTAATCCCAGGGAAATGTTGTGCAATGACTATTTTCAAATTTATATTTCACCTTAAGAAAATTCCCCTCTTTTTTTGCTTGTTAAAATACTACATATTACACAAACTGACCTGCATTTGTTCTTTTAATCAGTTGATTTAATGTTACTAATTAGTTTAAATGGTGAAATTATTATTTAAAAGCTATAGTCCTTAAAACTGTATGAGTAATTATATTGATGTAGGAGGCTATGAAGGTTTTAATACTCACACAAGAATATGAACTTGAAAGTACCTTTGAAGGAATTAAAAACCAATTTTAAACAAATTGAATCATTTTGGGACTTCTGAGAAGTATTTAGAACCTGAATTTTTTAAATATTTTATTTTTAAAAATAAATTACATTCATTCTTCTCTTTACAACCCGAATATATTCCCCTAACAGAAAATATCTGAAAAGTCAGAATCTTACAAAAGGTGAATTACTAGGTATTTATTTTCAATCACGAGAATATATGTAAAATAACTTACAGGCCACCCTTAAAGGTGTAGATTTCCTGATCATATGAAAGTAGAGATTTTTAAACGCAGAAAATGCTGACATACCGTTAGATATATTTGAAACTATCCCTTAAACCTTATTGATTAATGGCATGGTGCTAGTTTCTTCAAGTAATCCCACTTCTTCTGAATCCTCAGCTTAAACTCACCACTTGGAATTTTAGTTTGCATTTTAATTGTGACCTATCACTAGTCCTTTCCTGTTCCTCCTTCAGGACCCAGACTTCGTTAAATCCTAATGGTTAGGATTAAACCCTACTTGAGTCTAACTCTGTTTGACACTTAAAATGGTTTTGAAAAATTAGTAAGACATAATCAAATGAAGACACTGGGCATGAAACCCTATGATGGGTCCAGGAAAATATATGTGGATTGGTGTTATGAAAATACAAAGTGAGGGAAAAGGAGTAAAACTAGATGTGGGTAAGTAGATTAATGAGTTAAAGAGAACTTGCTCACAAAGACAACTTGCATGGGAGTCTGAATGCCATCTTGCAGGAAAAATGGAACAACTGAAGAATATTGGCTGAGAAAGATGCAGGACACTGACTGGAACTTAGAGGATGAATTTAAGAGCAAAAGGGAGTGGTATGACAAAAACCTGAGAAGTGTCTACTGAATTCATCTAGACAAAGTACTAAAAGAAGAGACAATTGGAATAGAGAGAAAACAGACTGAAAAATGTTTATAAAACATGATACCACATGCCAGGGTATGGAGAGTGAAAGGAAGACACTGTGGCATGACTTTCAGGCTTCTAGTTTTGACAACAAGCAGATTATAGCCCCATTTACAGAGTTTGGCTCATGTGGGGAGGTGTTTCCATTTTGGACATGGTGATTTTGAGATGAGTATGGAATAATCAAGGGGTAATGATTAGCCAACATCATGATACCTGAGTGAGAAAACGCAGGACATGGTGTGGGCTGGAGAGAAATATTAATGAGTCATTAGCATATGAGCAGTTTTCAAACGCAGGAAACTTGAAGCCAGAATTGCATTAACTAGTATCAACAAAGCATGAGTCAAAGATAATTAGGGAACATGGATTTTAAGGGTTAGGCTGACAAAGAGATGACAAAATAAAAACAAAATGAAACCAAAATCAGAGCTGTTGAGAACCATGAAAAAAAGAAAAGTTTTCAGGAATGTG